CTATAAAAAGACCCAGCTGCACGTATGATCACACACACACACAAGCAGCAACTTTGTCAATCAAACACTGATGTACAGTCATTCCCGGCGGCTTGTCACAAGGGCTGAGACTAAGGTATATACACGCACACAGCAGCCTGTTCAGTTTGCCAGCTACTGAATGTCCTCAAATAACCTCTCTGATATCCTAAAGGCGTAAAACACATACAGAAAACAACAGTTTAAGGTTCATCTGCACAGAGAAACAGCATCATTTCAGATTCAGTGACATGCAGCACTTTTGATCTCGGCTGCGGCGGCATTTAAAATTCCCACGCGCTCGAGAAAACCCCTCATTAGGACAGCGAAACACCAAAACCTCCAGCTGAAGCGAGCCCCGTTAAAAATCAGCCGGAATCTCAGCTGAACGAGCGTCACACATCAGCCGTGAGCAGCGGCGGAGGCAGCAGCAGCAGCAAGGAAGAACACGGTGGATGAGTGGAAACCTCTGGTGCTGCCTAACTGCCCTTCACTGTTGTCACATAACAGTCCGCTTGTCTGATGTGGAGATAGCCGAGAGGAAGCGAGGGCTTTGATCCTTAATGGGGCCATGTCGGCTCTGTGGAAATGACATTCATGGCTTGTATTTACACAAGCACAATTATGGAGGTAATTTGGTTGGTGGACAATCAATTAGAGTGAAACTATGTCTGAGTAATAACACAGATTAAAGGAAAGGTTATGGCTGGAGCCTATTTGGGTGTAAATGAGGAAAACGGGCTTCTGCTAAATAAGCCCAAGAACACATTAACCTTTAGATCTACAGCCAACCTTAATAGCTCCGTATGCTTCAAACAAAGTGCCCGTCTTATTGTCTAACCGCGTCTGCAGCCCTCTTTCTAATGACAGACCCGGGAGTGGGTGTTTGACAATTTTTATAGATGATCTTTATGCAGAGGTTAAACCAGATGTGGCTTGATCTCCAACTCTTTTTTTTTTTTTTTAAATTTTGCACCTACTTCTGTCAGTTCTCGTGTTTACAGTAAAAGAAATCACCCAGGAAACAATATCCGGGCGTAAAACATCTCTTTTTGATGTAAAGGTAAAAAGAGGACGCAGATATTGTTACCATTTGAAGCAAATACCCATCAGCAGGCGCAGGTTCAGGAAACAGCAGCTAATAAATACCATGTGTGTCGGCTCGGTTGCATCAGTTACAGTGATGACGTCAATTTTTGGGTTAATGGGACTCTTGCTGATTCAGATTTTTAGTTCACTGTTACACTTCAATGGATGAGCGCAACACTACAACCATATTGAATTTAATCCCCCCACGCCTCACACAACCTAAGTTTACATTCTTTCCTTCACGTTGCATGGTGCCTCGTGTTAATCCTTACATTTGTCATAATTACGTTGTTTATGTAAGGTTTTCTCTAAAGCTGCCTTAGTCGTGACACGCTGCTTAGTTTCTGTATTTATGTACCAAGGCTCTGTAGCTAGCGTGCAACCTCATAAGGTGCAACTATAAATCAAGCTGAATTTATACAGGCTCACTGTCACTTCAGTAAGTACACCTGTTTAACTGCTCGTCAACG